CGTGAACAATCACATTAGATCTATTTTTAGGAAATTTCTGGGGATTTGTTTTTTTTTTTTATTACAATATTCTTGTTTTTTGTTATTGAATTTCTTAGCACATGGATGTGATACGAAAAAGAAAATGTGCTGTATATTAATACTTCATTTTCATTTATGTACATATATCGTAGAATAAATATTCTAAAGCAGAAAAAAAGTTTTTTTCTGTCTGTATATATGCTAAATTTTTTTCGTTGTTTTAGATAAATTTTTTTTTGATTTTATTTTAGATTAATTGATGTTTATGATAAACGCTTGAACCTCAAACGAACTCGAGACAATGAAGAAAAATTTTTAGGTTTTTCTTTTTATTTTATTGTATTAATCTTTTCTAATTTTTTTAAGCTTTATTGTATAGATGTTTTGTTGTATTCTTTTCATTTGTGTAGATGTTGTTATTATTTTTATTTTATAGGCGATTTTCTTATTGTTTCTTTTTCCATACAGATGTGGTTTTATTATTTTATATTATATTTTTTTCTATTGATATTTTTCATTATTAATTTATTTTATTTTATTTTACTCTGTAGAGTTTTTTATTTTTCTTGTTTTATTGTATAGATCTTTTTCTTATGTGTTTTTAAATTCACAAGAAAAACATCTATACAATTAAACAAAAAACAATAAAAAGTCTATAGAGTAAAATAAAATAAAATAATAATCAAAAATATCAATGGAAAAAAATATAATGTATAATAATAAGACCACATCTCTAGGAAAAAGATAATAAAAAAAATCGCCCATGATATAAAATAATAACAACATCCATAAATAATTTTTGTGTGCACTTTTTTTGTATTATTATGTATATGTTTTTTATCAAATAAAACTTGATTTTTAGTAAATAATTCTGCTTTCAAATTGTAAATGCATAAAGGCAAAACGAAGGGAAATGTCGGTAGCGTGTTCTATCGACATGGGATACAGTATTAGATCATGACATCTTTCCACAGCCATCTATTTTATTTAGTCATTGTATGGTTCTTTCACTATAGTGGTTACTTTTACGCCAATAGATTCTTTTTCATATTCTATTTATATACATACATTGTGATTAAACTGGAACAAGTAGCAGTATTTTTTTTTTATTTTCAGATAAAAATAAAAAAATATGATGAAACACCGTTTTGAAGTGACATCAGTTGATGAACTTAATCGTGATAATAAATCATTCCAACCATCGGAAATAATTCCATTAATTGATATTCAAAGTGAAATTCCATCATCATCATCATCATTTCCATTAGTTCCGTCGATTACAACAATTAATGAAACAAAAACAACACCAACACGATCATATAATAGTTCTTTACAACAATCGAAAATAAGTTCATCAGCAATTGATCTTCATCAAGATGTTGATTCATCATCTTTACCAATTGTTCATACAAATAGTAATACAAATACAAATGTTAATGGTAAAATAGAAGAAATTGATTCAACTTATGCTACAACACATTCTAATAATTATGATACGAATTCATTTAGTTTAACAAATAAATTTCTTTATGAATTACGTTTAAAACGTCGTGAATTACGTGAAAAAACAAAAAATCTTTCAATTGAACAACGTATTGCTTTAAATCGTTATCAACATAATCAAAATCGTAAACGTGCACAAGATATATTTGATGTTAGTTTTGAATCAAGTGATAATGATGATTTAAAAGATAATTTATTTAATCAAGATTTACAAGAAAAAATACGAAATAATATTTTTAATGAATTAGATCGTCAACAAATGAAACAATATTATAAACAAAAACGTCAATTAGTACTTGGTCGAGCTATGTTTATGGTTTTTATATCATTATTAACATTCATGAGTTTTACATTAATTTATGTTGTTATTGATTTGTATGATCGAGCACAATATTTAGATACTAAGTTGCCAGATAATAAATTTATATCGATGATTTATGATAAAATATCCAATGATTGATACAAGAAAAAAACAAACGAAGAAATAAATTATGTTATTCCATAGTTAGATCTGATGAATTAATTAGTATTTAATTATTATTTTTATCATTATTTCTGGTCTATTATTAATCTCAGCTATTCTTGTACTTAGGATGGAAAAAAATGAAAGTACTAGTACTATAATACCTTTTTGACTGATTCTGAAAATTTTCTCTTTTTATATTTTCTTGAGTACGTAAAACAGAAAAGAAGAACTTGCAGTGAAATTTTGATATTAATGTATAAACGAAAGCATGATAACAGATTATAAAATCATTGAGTGCTGTTTGAGGGTATCATTATATAAAAAGAGAAAATTTTCATGAACTTTTTATAAGGCTGTATCGTCTGGTATTACTATACTTTTAGTATATCCTGAGTATATCACGCATGCTTGATGCTCAATTGCAATGAATTTTTTTATATGAGTTTATATACATCAACAAATACAATTTGTTATTTTTTTTTAATTAATTTATAAAGCTTCCAATATCTATTTGAATAAAATTAGAGAATTTTATTTGATAATTATTTTCGATTAATTTTAAATATTAAGTAAAATTTTATTTAATATTTCTTTTTTTTATTTTTCAGATGTCGAAGCCAGGTTTAACCACTCCACCAAGCGCTCGAGCGGCCAGTCCTCTCAATACAAGTACGGGTGGTAATGGCAATCAATTAGCTTCACTTAGTAATACTCCACCACCATCTGGTGAAGATATGCAACCACCACAACAGCGAATGCTGCACCAACAATCATTACCACCGATGCATTTTGGTGGTCCACGAGGTCCTCCACCACCACATATGATGCATCCTGGTGGTCTTCCTCCACCACAACCAGGTCAATTTGTTGATGATTTTTATGGATCAGGACCGCCACCAATGATGCATCCACATCCGCATATGATGCATGGTCCACCACCTCCTCATCATCATCCACATATGGGTAATTTACTTGGTCCTGGACCACCACCTCATGCACGTGGTATGATGCTTATGCATGGGCCACCACCGCCACCACAAATGATGCCACGTACATATCCACCACATACACATCATATTAATAATCCACAAAATCCCAATTCATCATCAATTGCTATATGTGGATCATGTCATAAAGAAGCGCAAGATACTGAGGGAACGGTGCTTTGTGAATCAGGTTGTAATTTTTTTTATCATCGAACATGTGTTGGATTAACAGAACATGCATTAAAAATGCTTAATCAAGAAAATTATGCAGAATGGGTATGCGATAAATGCTTTGCTGAAAAACATGTACCACCAGTTAAACTCAAATCTTGAATCTCTCTTACTTTTCTTGTCCTTCTTTTATGTATATATCTTGTTGTCTCATGTAGAATAATAAATGTCAACTCATTTTACATTCTATTTCATTCTATTCATTAATCACAAATGTTAATATATATATTATAGAAATGATTTAATGAATTCTATTGGTCATGGAAAATCTACTTCTATAAATCAACTTTCTATGTCTATCAAGTATGCATTTTATTAGAATTCGTTTTATATTAAGATTGTTGGTATCATGAGAAGAATTGAGAATACTAATATCCAAATAACGTCAATATTTTTATGTTATGAAAATGTTTCTACTCTAAAAATAAATTATATAGATATAAACTGCGATTTCATTTTTCATAAATACAAGATAAAGGTATATTAAATGCGATAGTTAATACGTTTTCTATAATCAAACAATATATATTTGTTCATAATAATAATAATAATTTCATTTTGCAAATTGTGTATGTTTCTATTAGTAGAATGCAATTAATATAGAAACAATCATCATAAACTTCGTTTGTGATTTTATTATTTCGTTTAATAAAATATATATTTACATAATGTATATATTTATATATATAGAAAAAAAAATCCATCACATAAGTCATATTCAATAATTAGTTAGATCAATATTAAAAACTTCTAAAACATATTGATTCAATGTTTCAGTCGAATATCTAATACAAGTTAAATTATTTTCTAATTGTCGGCGAAAATAATTTATACATTCAGGTAAAATAAGCTTTATACATGGATTATGAGTCATCATAGTAAAAAATTCCGGAGCATGTTTTAATGCAAGTACATATAATGATTCAATACCCGATGATAGAAAACGTATACCTAACAATTCAAAACTGACTCTCATTATTGATGCACAAACAAAATATTTATATTGATCAGATGTTAAATAAAAGGCAACAGCTGCTGTTCCCCAAACATGTGCCATTTTATGTACAGGTGAAAATTGTTTTGATTGATTACCATTTTCTTCAAAAAGACGACCAATATCATCTAACATTTTAAATACATCGATATTTAAAGTTTCTTGAAAAATTTTTGATCCATAACCAAAAAGAAAAAGATTAAGGGCAACATACAGACTATTTGCATGCTGAAGACTGCTACGTGTAAGACTGTGCGCATATGAAATTAACCATTCAGCACAAGGTATAGCTATACTTGGATTGAGAACACATTGAAGAACAATTTGTCGCCATATATAACGGCAATGTTCCGAACTTGGATTATTCATATTTAATTGGGTAAGAAAATTCTCACATGTTAAATCTAAAAAAATAATTATTTGTTTAGTTAATTAAAAGAATAATAAAAACATACTAAAAATTCGATGTTTTCGACTTTTAATAAGATTGCATATAAATTCTGATTGAAATTCTAATTTCATTTCAATGTCTTTTAATTTTTTTCGTTTTCGATCTCTTTCTATTATATCAGAATAACTCATAATTGTTGTCCTATTATCCAATTTTTGTGCTAATATTTCAGCTTGATTATATTGACAATATGCTTGATCAATATCACCTATGGTTTGATAAGCTTCAGCACAAATAAGTTGTAAATTAAATAATTTATGATAATCAATATGATCTGTATGAATAAGAAACATTCGATTAAGTGATTGGCATATATCAGCAGGTGGACGTTTATTTGTATGGACATACATCCACAATTGAAGTTCACCATAGTTATGAAGTGTAGCATCGTTTGGATATTTGGCCGCGGCGATTGTTACACGTGATAACACATTGAGTAGATTCGAATTCTCAAGAGTACTATAAAAAAAATCTGTATATGATATCAATTCATATTAATTTTTATACAAAAACAAAATACTACTCTTCAGTTGTTTGTTGTTGAATGGTGTTAGAAGCAGTATTCGGTATATATGTTGTTAAATCTTGCTCTAAAATAGAGTCAAATGGATGAGAAATAAACATTTGATCTTGTGCCAAGACTGAATCAACGACATTATTGCCATTCAATGAGTCATCGTTTATTTCTTTAGATAAATAGAAACGTAAAAGTAAAATTACATTCATGTTTTCTTTGTAGTATTGTCTCACCTGTAGTATTAATAGGATTGACAGTATTAATATTCGACATAGCCATCAGTATTGCCAATATTTATAATTAATTTAAGGAATCATTTTTATCTAGATGAACATAGTAATATGAATTATTTATTTTTGTAAGGTGCCAGCAAAGCAAAATTCAAGTGAAGATTTTTCTTTTCGCGTTTTTTTTTACATCATTTGATAGAACGTGATCTGCTGATCACGAAAAACTACTTTTTAGCCCCAGCAAATGTTTCCTTCTAGTTGAAAAATACGAAACACTCGAAAGGTGTCGTTTCTCGACAAAATCACATATTTTTCAAAATGTGCAAAATTTTCCACTTTGTCTCTTTTTTGGCTTCTGAAAATAATTTTTTCAGATTTACCATCAAAAACTGAGTATAAAAATGTTGTTAAAACGACTCCAGACCCAAAATTCTACTAGTGGTGGCGCTTCGAATCGCGTCGAGTCCACTTGGTATAGGCCGATTTTGTAAATCTATCTAGTTTCTCCACGTAAGTGATGGAGCCAAATAATCTATCTCCTTCGACTGGTCATACCCCTAGCCAACAACTAATGCATCGCTTTTTGTTTCTTTTTTTTTCCTGTGTTGAGAAAATTCGGTTTTACCAGAACCAAAGCCATTTTAGACGGTTTTCGAATTCAAAAAGGCTTTTAGTCCAAACCAAATGCAGATTCAGAATCAGCACAGAAAACTGATTCAGACGAAGTGTCCTTCAGGTAAATTTGACAACTTTCATTTTTTTGTCATTTTTCAGGTGCTGTAGGAGAGCTACAATTTTTGTATATGAGTTGAAAAATGAAAGTTGCCAAAGGAGCTTGAAAGATACTTCATTCGACTCAATTTTTTATGCTGATTCTCAATCTGTATTTAGTTTTTGCCTAAAAGCCTTATTCGAATTCAAAAACTGTTGAATACCGTCTAAAATCGGTATGGTACCAGTAAAACCGGTTTTTCTCAACAAAGCAACGAAAAGAAAAAAAACCGATCCGTAGCGTCGTGTGGGGTGGTATGGTAAATAGAATGAGACAAAATATTTCGCTCCATCGTCTACGTGCAAAATCTAGATACGTTTACAAAATCGACCTATACGGATCTCACTCCATACGATTCCAAGCGCCACCACCAATAGAGTTTCGGGTCTATAGTCGATTTAACAATTTGTCTATACTCATTTTTTTATGCTGAATCTGAAAAAAATATTTTCAGGAGCAAAAAAAAGAATAAAGTGGAAAATTTCGCACATTTGGAGAAAAGATATGTTTTTCTCGAAAAACGACACCTTTCGAGTATTTCGTATTTTTCGACCGGAAGGAAGCATTTGCTAAAGCTAAAAAGTAGATTTTCATGATCAGCAGCTCAAGCTCTATCAAATGATATGAAAAAAAGGCAAAAAACATTTTACTGAAAATTTGCATTGCGGGCACCTTACAAAAAAAAGAAAATTAGTTTTTAGAATTGATACGTTTGTATCACCATTATGTGTTACTAGGTATGGATCGAAACTGAAAATTAAGTTTCAGGACTTTTTGTAAAGGAGTTTCTTCTATTGAAAAAACAAATGACTCACAAAATTTATAAAATATTATCTTAGTAGAGCGAACACTTGTCCTAAAAAGAATGAAATACCAACAAAGTTTATTCGATGTATTATTCCATTCTAATTACACTATTACCAAGAGTTCTGACCATGGCTCACATTCTCAGTTTAGAGGAATTCATAACATTTCCATAGAAACTGAAATCTCTACTGTAAAAAAATTCTACCAAAATATCATTTGGTAGAAAAATGTTTTTTCTATAGATATGCATGTTAAATAAAATTGTACGTTTATTACTCAAAATGAGAGCGTTCCAAGGCAACAAATTAGAAAACACCGAGAAGTTCTTGATATCTGTCTATATATGGTTGTACCATTTAATTCTGTTTCTCTAGTGATAAATCATTCTATTGTTCTACTCTAGGATAAAATGAGTACTTACAATGATAAATGGGTTCGATATAGAAAAATAAACGGTTGTTGTTTAATTGTTTCAAAATAAGAGAATGATTTAACGAAATTTATTATATAAAATCGTCACTCTCTTATGCCTACTATTAATAAGGATAATATAGTACTCTATTGTTTGTCAATCAATGACGATGTATTTGAAAAATAGGAAAAAAGCCATTGAGAAAAGTGCTTTGTTATAATTTCTCAGCATGATTGGAATATTTGAAGCATTGGTAGAGTTTCATCAAAAAATGTGTTATTGTTTTCCGTGTCTCCTTTCTTTTTATTTTACGCTGAAAAGTATCTGGTCCACAATACCAGATACTTCAATATATCAGAGATAAGAGGAGAGAAGGAATGATTATTCACGTGATAGAATGGGTTGCCAGAGAGAGAGAGAGGAAGAAAAGAGTACGTATTTATGTCATGTGCTTCTTCTGACAACACACCCTCCGCGCCTCTTCGACAAAAAAAGTAAAGGAAGAGATAAAAAGAAAAAAAAATGGCTTAATATTAAAGCACAGAGACAGCAACAAAATAGCAAGACAAATAGGAAAATATGTAGTGCATAGTTGAACGGATAAGCAAGGCATACTGTAGAGATTGGAGGAAAAAAGGATCGAAAAGTCGACAAAATTCTATAAAGAGTTATCAAACGATTGGGTTGCATGATGGTGATGATGAAGGTAAGATATGATCACGAGTTCGATGATCAATATGTATTAGTGTAACAGGTGTGAGTAACGAAGTAGACTAACCGGTTATAAAGTAAGAAATGTGACCATAAGATGATTGCCAAGACGTTTGAGGTGATGCTTGTGGAAAAGAAGACGTAGACAGCGTCGTGGAAGAGCTACACAAATGCTTCAGTAATGGTCAGCAACATTTGTCAAGATAAATTATAACAATGATACTACTAATAATAAAGACAATCGATTGCAGCAATACACTATACTGTATCCACTTCTGATGATTAAAAGCAGATTGTGATTGACTGCACACATTGATAGATTGATCAAGAAATGCAGCAATGGGTAGAATCAGTAAGAAGAGTACAGAAAAAACAGAGCAAGTTTATAGTAACAAAATTGTGCATAGTAGAAAAACGTACGTAATCGTAACGTAACGTGCTTGCAAAAGACAGTCGAAATGGAAATGCTATAGTTGGGCGGAGAGAGGTAAAAGAGAAAAACAGATGGATCAAAACAGTGTTTAGCGAAGGTATGAAAGAATTTATGATATGAACCAAGGATACCGACATGTTGTTACTGCATTTTTACAAATAAGTAGAAGTTAATCACCAATAGATATACTTGGAAATGTAAAGCTTATGTAAAATTATAGGAGTTGATTGTAATGACTTTATTGAGATAAATCATTTTGTGAATAAATAGGTTTAGTTATGTTTGAATGAACTTGGGTCTGACTGTCAGTGCGATTGGCAACAATAAGCGAAACGAGAGTAAATACTTGAACAATACGACTCAGTTTATGATAATGAGTAGCTAGCTCAGATCTTCCATGAAATACTTTGAGTCACACAAAATCACCGACTTTGTATTGAGGATATGGACGATTAGTATCTAAGTGGGCCTTGAATAGCTGTTATTGATAGATTATGTTAGCTTTTTGCTTGTTGTAAAATAATCTTTTTCTAATGGATTACTTGTAGTCAGGAATCACAAAGTTTCTCAACAATAAATGTGGATCATGCTGATATCAAAGGGATTCAAGATTATTGGACAAGCACGAGTTGATAAGGAGTGAAGCCAGTAGAGTGATGAACACTATGATGATAAGTATAAACCGTTGATGGTAAGTATATGTCCCAATCGTTATGATTAATATTACAATATTCAGTTAATAATGTGGAAAAGTCGAGTTCCAGTGTTTCATTTGACCATTTGTTTGATAGTAATAGACGATGGAAAAAACGCAGTTACGACCAATTAAGTGTGTGATGATTTGAGCAAGTTCATTTTTCAAATGTAAACCTCAATCAGTAATAATTGTATCAGGAGGACCACGAACAAGAATAACTTCTTCCATGATAATGCGTGATGTGTCGTGTGCAATATTATTACGTGATGCTTGAGCAAGAACATAATCAGCTAGTCGATCAGTAAGAACTAAAACATTTCGATTACCATTGAGAGATGATGGTATCTGTACTCACCAACCCATAACCAAAACTTGAAAAACGTCATTGTGTGGCTCTATAAGTTGTAAGACTTCGAAAGGTTTACGACGAGTGACATTATATTTCCAACATTGATCAGATGATTTAACATAGTTAGTAATCGGTTGTTTCATATTCGGTTAGTAATGCTTGTTCTGTAGTGTAGCAACTGTTCGTTTAATGCAAACATGCCTACTAACGGACGATCATTATAAGCAGATAATAATTCAAAATGAGTAAAGACGGTACAAATAGTACTTCAATCGTTGTTCTTTGCAAATAAGTAGTATAATAGAATTCAATTTTGAAGACTGAACAAGCAGTGACTATGTCCATTTGCACGGTGGGTATGCTTGTGAAAGTGAAACTTTGTGGTGGGTATGAATGTGGATATCCATGAATAGATATTAACTCACGTAGATCACACTCATATCCTAACGTCATTGTTATTCTGTTAAAGTTAATTATAAGAACAGGTGGCTGTTAAATTGAAAAACAAAGGACATACTTACAAGAGCATGATATTATTTGATACTACATATTCAGTCATACCTCGATAACCAAAATTTGAATGTTATGTATTTGAAGATTAGATTCGTGAAGGTATTTATAGTATTCAGCCACTACATCCCTTCTTCGGTAAGTTTTTGTAGCAGTTAGTACAGCAATACGTATGACAATAGGCGATTGTGTTTGCAGAACTTTTCATAATGAGCACGATTCGTGACATCGATTGAAGAGTAGTGATTTTAATCGATTGGATTCGTCTTTAGAGAACTATTCTAACGAACAAAATGAAGAGTCAACAGTAAGAGTTTTTCTTCTCTTGTTACACACTTTCTGCTGTCTTGCTAGCCGATGAAAAAAAGTTGCTGCTGCAGCTCCAGCCAAAACCGGAGGTTACAACGAGTGGGTGGAAGAAGATGATCGAGTTCAAATTCGATCGGCTAAACTATGTCTTTAGTGCAGCTCTAAATTTGATCGGTAGATTGTTTTTTTTATTGTTGAATTTACACACTAAAGTATACGTTTTATTTCTTCTCTTCTCTGCAAAATGACTGATTCGAAGTCTGCAGAGGTACTATCTAATGAACAACGTATCATGGTTTTTGTCAACGTAGTGTGTTTGTGTCAAAGAATAGTCTCTAGTATTTAGATCACCTTTACAAAAAAGATTTAGCATAAGAAACTCTAAAACACATTCAGCGATCTCAACTCGATGAATTGATTATAAACGGTGATGATGTCAGGCAATTATTTGAGAATTATCGGTCAGCTATAATCCGGATCAGATCAATTGATTTTGACAATTCAACAAGTCTTGATGATTAGAGCTTTAAAACCATAACTAGTCTTCGCCAAGGTATTGTATTTTATTTTGTCTTCATTCGTTCTTTTAAAGAATCTTTGCATATGTCAGATAGTTTCGACGAAATGTCTGATCAATCGACTACAATACATCATACTCGTGTTCGAGTGTCACTGCGCCGTATTCCTTGCAAAAGTATGTTGTGAATTTAGCAATAGCATTCATGCCTGCCTTTTCCAGCTTAAATGAAACTACGAGAAAAGAAGTTATGTATTAAAGATGTATCTGAGAATATACATAAATTTTTTCAATATAACGACAAATTATTATAAATGTGATTTCTTCATTGATATAGCATTTTCGAAATTCATTGTTTTAATCGCTCTAATAATGTGCAATAAATTTATAACTGTCAGAGTTAGTGAATTCTACACTTTGTATTCTCGCAGGGCTACACTGACAAGCTTTACAATATATTTGTGTACATTAAAGTTTTAACTTTATTTGGTACAGAGCTGAAGCTATATTCTTCATTTTTTAAGCGAATAGTCATCAACTTTTTTGATCACTTATATAAATTATTCTTTCAATGATATTGGAAGATCAAACCGAAATACCAGCAATAGTTAATATGTTAGAACATCTAAATCTTATCCAAAAGCTGTGTTTAACTTTTTTTTTATTGTTTGTAAATAATGAATAGAACTTGTATCTTCGATGCACTTCTTATTTTCATAGAAATGTTTGTGTAACAGAGACTACTGTATATATGAAGTTTTTTCACTTGTAATTAATTGAATATGAAAATTGAAATTGGAGAATAGTGATGGAAGACAAACATAGAAACAAATATTATCGGCAAGCATGATGAAATTATTTCTTCTAACAATACAGTAAACATCTATTTCAATGTATATAGTTATGGTTAGAAGCCAATCAGAAAGCATAAATAAAAATAATTTTCATTGAAATAATATACTTTCATGCAAGATAAAAAAATCATATAGATGTATTTCGATGACTAGTTTGAATTGTAGAGAATAAAACGTCAATAGATGAAGAATACATTAGAAAAAAGACAGTCATTATACAAAATGTAAAGGAAATAATTGGTTAAATACATACCACAAAAGCAAAACCAGTAAGTCTATGTAATTTTTTATCAGTCCCATAAGAAAAATAAAATTGTTAATTGGCTACTGATGGATAGCATCCGTCCATTTTGTGGAAGAATATAAAGTGCATTGAGAAAAAAACGGTAGCTTGTTACTCTCAATATTATGCTTTTAACAAAAGGCATTGTTATCATAGATCAATATGAAAAATTATTATAAAATTAAGGATATAGAGAAACAATGTATCACAAAAATAGATTTTGTTTTAGTACTTAAGAATAATACTCACCAAAATATCATAGATATCGAATCACCAGTGATTCACACCATGTAGTTTTGAATTGTTCAAAATCTGATTCATGTAAAATTTTAACTCTTTGTCATTTGTAAAAAGACCAACTTGACCACTACTTGTGCATTTTATTACAAACTTTATATGTTGATCATCATTCAAAAACAACTTCAACTTAACAAAAGATTCCGTTTCACAAAACTTGCTTATCTGTACCTAATGATGCATGATTTGAATTGGACAAATTGAATAGAACAAAATCTTGTTTTTACTTTAATGAATGACGATAGAATATTTTTGATTGTTACAATATTATTTGTATGATTCACTACATCGATCACTAGTAAAAAATATCTATTGAATAGTTTAAGTTGTATAGATCATGAATAGAATGGTGTATAAACATAAATGCAGAACAAAATGTTTTGAATGTTCTTAATAACTATCAAAACTTTATCATTATTGTAAATCAACATCTGGAAGATAATAAAAATTCTTTATTAATAACTAACGACAACTATAGGAAATTGTCTTATACTATAGATGACCTTGATATAACATGGACTGGACTAGGTGGCATCGACTCAAGCTCACATCAAACAATTTTGATTAAGTCTCTTCCATCTACGTGTTTTATTTTTAATCAAGATTTATTGTGTTTGTCTTCTTCTTGAAATCTTTAATTATTTTTCTTCGTTTTACAAAATTATAATCATGACTAATAAAAGTGTTGCTCGTTCATGTGATACATTTGTTGTGTTACCACCATTGACAGATTCAAATTTTCATATATTTGGTAAAAATTCTGATCGACCAGCAAATGAAGTTCAAGAAGTGATATTTGTTTCAAAAGAACATACAACTGAAAATAAAGATCATGTTCATGTATGAATTTTTTTTACATAGTTTTTATTTTCTTTCGCTAATTTTTTTTTCTCTTAATTTAGTGTACCTATATTCAAATACCACAAGCTTGGACAACATATCGATGTATTTTGTCAAAACCTGCATGGTGTTGGGGAGCTGAAATGGGTGCAAATGAACATGGAGTATGTATTGGTAATGAAGCTGTATTTTCAAAAATATCTTATCATACACGACCTATGTCATTAACCGGTCTTGATATTGTTCGGTTTGTATTTAATCTATATTTTTTTTATGAAAACTCATTTTGATTTCTTTAGATTAGCTTTAGAACGTGCTAAAACAGCCAAATTAGCTGTTGAAATAATCGGTGACTTAATAATAAAATATGGTCAGGGTGGATCATGCTATGATCCCGTGTCTGGTTTTTCATCAGGCTATGATAATAGTTTTCTTGTCGTTGATAGTGACGAAGCATGGGTTGTTGAAACATGTGATCGTGTTTGGGTTGCTAAACAAATTAAAGGTAATATACAAAATATCCTAAAAATCAGTCGGAAACGTTAACTTGTAAATATCTCTTACACAATTCGAATAATATAATTGATACTTTTAGTATATATTACTATGTTCTTTAATAGTTTTATTCTGTATGTTTTTCGATACACATTTATCTTACATTTGAACGTTTTTATAAAACTTATACCATAAAAAATCGACAGCATAGTAGAAGACCGTCAAAAATTATAGAAGAAAAAAATTGACCAAGTTCTTGACGTTCATGAAAATAAATTACAATCATGTGTTTGAGTTCATCGCAAGATTTTGCTCTATTTCACAAACGAATTGTACCTTGTATAGTTTCAATAAAAAGTATTTAGTTATGATTCGTTACACCGTTATTCATGGAATGCAGCAGGTGTCTTTGGGATAGCTCGAATACTGAAGATTATTGTTCATTTCCACAAACATTCTGAACTGCGTCGACTTTTCTTCTGCAGTTTTTAATGGTCTTCCACTATATCAGTTTCACAAAAAGTGTTCAAATATAATTGTAATGTCATCTTCAATCTGATATGTATATTGTCTAACTTGACGTACAGTTTTCGTTCCACAATCATCGATAACTCAAATTTGACCATTAATAAAATTATTTTTATTCTATTGTTTATACTTTCAAACATATGTCTAGAAATATACAGAACAATAATTTAAAGAACCTACTAACATATAATGAAAAAAAAACAATAAAATTGCTTAAATTGTATAAGAGATATTTACATGTTAGCTTTTTCAACGCACTTTTTTTGGTGGTCTGTATTAGTATTATTCTTTTATTTTACTTTATAGGATAATTTTTATTTTTCTAGAAGGATATTACAACATATCAAATGTATATACTATTGAAGATGATTATACAATTCACTCATATAATTTAGAAACTTTTGCTAAAGAAAAAAAATTATGGAATGGAAAAGACAAATTAAATTTTGCTGAAACATTTCAAACTTCATCTCGTGGTGATGGTCGATTAAAAGCAGGACAAAAATTACTTGAACATTTAACTAGAAATGGCAATTTTTCAGTTTTTGATATGATATCAATTTTACGTGATGATCAATCGAGTATATGTATGTTAGGTGAAGGTGATGATTGTATTACAACAGGTTCACAAGTATCTGTACTATCACCAACAAATAAAAAAACATCTTCAATAGATGCATGTCATTTTTTTACTGGAACACCAAATCCACAAACATCATTATTTAAACCATTTATTTTCACAGATAAAGTTGAATTAGGTCCCTTAACAGTTTCAACACCAGCTGAAATAACATCACATCGTATTCATCCATTATATTCTGCACGTCAAAAAGCATCACGTGAACAACTTGAAGACAAACGTTTAAAAGATTTTGAACATGAAGGTATTATGGAAATTATTGGTAAACTTAAATCATCGGATGAAAATAATACTGATACATTTGAAACATTATTTCATGATACAGTTTCAGCTGAAATTGAATTACTTCGAGAGCATCCACCAAAGAAACATTGATAAATGGAAAGGCTTCCATTTTCTCTTTCAAACTATTTTATTGCACAGTATTCAATTAATCATCTTCTTTTATCATTTGTTGGATCCTATTCTTAATCACTTTTTGTTTTTTTTTTAATATATATTTTAAAAATGTTCAGTATAGTCTATTGAAAACACGATGCATGTCTATTAATCAATAAAATTGATCAAACTGGGTTTTTTTTACATAGAATATAACACACAATAAATTATAGTTGTAGTAGATAAATATGAATATTTATTAAATAAAACGTTTTTTGATGAAAAAGATGAAATACAAAAAGACATTCTATTCATTGGTTACGCACAAAAACATATATAGTATAATAGGACGCTAGTTATCATTCGTAATATGTACATTGAAAGAGTCAATCCTATAATAGTGTACTGAACATTATCGATATTCTTCATTTTGAGTATGATGCTCAGTATGGCACGTAGACGAAATAATAGATAATACAGATAGTTATATTGCTTATGAATGATAGAATTATCATAGATTGTCTCCCTAAGCAATAATTAAGTTTTTATCTAGAGCGATCTCATTTCCGAATGTTTGACTGGTATTTCAAAGAAATATTTGTCTGTTCGTTCACTATTATACTGTCAAAATTAAAAAAAAATAAGAACATAAGTGGCAATCAAGAATGGTCTACCTTTGAAATTGAATAGTTCGATAAAAAATAATCACAAATATAAAATCTTTCAAAGTTCCTCTACTATTCTCAATACATGCTCGTAGTATTATGTAAATTTGAAAAATTTTAACATCTTGAACAAATAAAGAAAAATAATGTTAAAATCAATTGCTACGAGGTTAGAATAATCCTTCATGGCCATTAAAAAGTCTATTCCATCATAAAATGAATACTATAGTTAATGAAATGATTGTAATGGGCTACTACTCAATGCATCTTATTCATTAATTTTTATTATTATCAGTAAGAAGTTATAGCACAAACAAAGATACTTTATTCTTCCTAATAACAAATAAAGATTTTTCAAGTTACCAAACATTCATTAAATAATCGGTAAAAAAAAAAAGAAAAGAAAAAAACCTTTCTGCCATACAGTTCAATGAACATGAAGTTCATATATGATCGTTTACGACTGTATAATTGTATCAATCTTCGTATACAATATGCATTTCTAGTCTTTCTATTTGGTATATCTCTGTCTCTTTTCTGTAAACAGCTATTTACGAGCATAATTTTTCAACTTAAATAGATTTCACAAAGCTCTCCATTATGATTATATTATATTGTATTTAAGAATATTTATCAAAAACAAAAGAGAAAAAAAAGAACTCAACGAGTCATAAATACAATTGAGTGTTACATTGATTAAATCCATCATAGTCACTATAAATGTTGAAATATTTCAGATGGACCAACTCAATCAAGGTATATATCGAGACGACAAATTTTTAGAATGAACCATTTTTCAAACAAGGTTTAATTAATGTCATATTTAATAAAAACTATTTCAACTTTACTTGAATTAGGTCATGTTATATAGAAAAATAGTTGGCTCCTAGTAGAAAATGTTAGATGACGAAACATTTTATGAGAGTTTCAATTCAAGATTTTTCAGTCAACGAAAACGTATAGTAAGAAGAAGAAAAAAACAAAATTCAATTTCTTTAATAAAGGATGAAGATTGCTAAGCGATGAAATCTGCTTTCCTACTATTATGTTTCACAATTCTCTAATAGTTAATTGAAATGTCAAGAATCAATAGCTGTTCGAATCAGTCCGTCAGACTACAATCTGACTGCTCACGGTTCATTTAAAACTCGATATTCTCTATCCAGTAGAGAGTGGTAGTGCAGAGTGTTCATATAAAAAGTGGTTTATTCCATTTTCAGTACTTCTAATTTGAGGTATGAACTAAATGAAAGATGATTCTTTCCAGTATCAAATGACAAAAGGAAAGTAACAAAATATTTTTTCTCGTTTTTTCTTTAGTGGACTATTCGTCAGTGCCTTTGAAAATTTACAAAATACTCTTATTACATAGTTCTTTTTTTAAACTCAACTATGAACGTCAATCAGAAGTACAATGTGCGGACGTCCTAAAATAGGTCTTTTTGACTCTATATTTGGCCTTAGTAGTTAGACTTTCTATAAAAACATGTTGATGTATTTGAAATAAACATAAAAACCTGAGTCAATCTGTTTATGTCACAAAATGATCCATCAAAGTTCATTTTCCTTCAAAAAATACAGTTCTGATTCCCTTCAGGGATATGTCAAAAAATTAATTCAGTTAATACGTTATTCTAATTATAAAAAGACAATTGTAACTTTTTAAAAAGCTAGAAAAATTCACAATGACAGCTGGATAAATAATAATCATGAGGTTTGGTTGAGTTAATTTTTTGATAAAATCCTTGAGGAGGAGGACCAAAGCTCAATTCTTGAAGGACAATGAAACTTAATGGATCATTTTGTGACATATAAAGATCAACTCAGATATGTACGCGCATTTCAAATATATCTTTTATTTTGGTAGAAAGCCTAACTATTAAAGTCAAATACAGAGTCACAAAAAAGCAATTTTTCGTGCTCCAGAACATTGTGCGATTGACTGAAAAATTTTAGCCACAAACTAAACTCCATATCATAGCAGCATTTTGTAAAAACTCTAACGAACCATTGAATAATCCTCCAAAGAACAAAAAGAAGAAACGAATATTTTGTTTTTTTCTTGTATGTCATTCGATAGCGAAAAGACTCATCTTTCATGTAGTTTATAATGTAGATTAGAAGTACTGAAAATGGAATAAAAAGCTTTTTATATGACCACTGTATACCGCGACTCTCTATTGAATAGAGAATATCGAGTTTTAAGACAATCGTGCGCAGTTGGAATGAGGACTAACACACTAATTCGAGCAACACTCAATGATTGATATTCCAATTAACTATTCAGAAAATACGAAAACTTACTTTTAAGAGGAACCAGTTTCATCGTTTAACGACTCTGAAGTGTTTTTTACTATTTTCTTGAGATTTCCTATCAAATATGGTTCACATCAAAACTATATCGATGGAGCTATCTTCCATGATTATATGTCTGGTTGAATTCAGTCTACTAAGAAAATCTGTATAGGCAAAATGCAGATTTAAACAAATGATGCATTATTTTATGACTAGATTGCATAAGTTTTTCATGTAACTATTACCGATTCTATTCTCTGAAGTATATTTAACAATGATTATAATAATAGATGAAAATGTTTGACATTCAATATAGTCAAAAATGTAGAGATTCACGAATTCTTCGGACATGATATCAAAGATGACATTTTTGTCGTTATAAAGAATGCAGCTGTTGTGAATTGTTTATATCAGTCATGATTAGCTTTTTTTCTTTATCAGTATTGATAGTCGAAATGCATGAAATGGAAAATAAAGGTTTCAGAATCGGTAAAATATTCATATTCTTTTGGTTTTTTTTTCACCAATTCCAACTGATATTGAGACCTGTGTTTTGCATTAGATGAAATGCCTAAGAATTGCTTCAAAACTATTGTTCAAAACTGAACACAACCCATATGAAGAATCACTAGAAGTCTGGTAATTCTTAACACTGGAAGTGTTCTAAAATCTGATTAGAAATTCAAGAAATCGGTTTATCCCTGCTAACAAAAAACACATGCTCAGTATTAACAATTATCGGAGTCTTCGTGATTTCACATACTTTTTGTGCTCAATATTGAACGCTTTTTATGAATCTATTCTTAGATTTTGTCTAATACAAAACACAGGTCTCAAAATTAGTTACAATTGGTGTAAGAAAACTTGAAATTGTCAATTTCGAGTAAAGCTTTTTCATTGAAGCAAAAAAAAATGATCATGGTTAAAATAAAAAATTCCCTGGAACGACATTCTTAATAGGGAAAAGACTGTCATTTTTGACATCATATGCTAAGAATTAGTGCATTACTTGATAAAAACAAAATTTTCTTCGTTGTTATTTATTCAATAGTTGAAATTAAATTATTGAATATATATTTAAATCAAACAACAAAGAAGGATGAAATAAACACAAAATTTGCTTTTTTTATCATCTAATGTGAAACACAATACAAACAAAAGAAAAACCAACAAGAACAACATACATTCTTTCATTCTATTGACTAGGTTATTATTTCATATATATACCATCATCATGATTATGTTCATTTGTTTCGACTGAAGACGATTCCGAACAACAACAGCAACAACAACAACAACATTGGCATGTTATCATTTTTTTTAAACATAAACGAAAATTTCTACTAAATATTGTTAAAACAAAAAATTTCATTAATATTTGTACATAAAATAATAATAATGATAAATCATATGCAATTATGATTTCATTAAATATTGTTTTTGATATTAATGTTGTTTGCTCACGTAAAAATAATTTACCAAAAAAAATTATAAATGCATATGGTAATACAAATATAAGATAAAGAAAACACATGAATACAAATAATTTTGTTATATTTTCACGTTCACGTGTTTTTGAATAATGTATAGAATTTTCATGTGGATTTGCATAATGTATTGTATAATGTCCATAATGACCACCATTTGATGTTAATAAATAATGTTCTTTTTTTCTACATAATGTATATAATAAAGTACCCATGAAAACAAATATAGCAAATAATGGTATAAATAAATAAATAATATGTAAAAACCAAAAGTAAATATGTTCATATAAAAATGATGTACGTAAATATGTTGAACGATATATTGTTTCATGAGGTTCCCATGCAAATAATTGTGGTAATGAAAAAATAATACCTAAGAGAATAATTCCAATAATAGTATTTTTTGAATTACATGGTGTACAAAAAAGTTTTTCATTATAACCATTCGATTGTATTGCTGTACATGTATGATCAAGACAACTTATTAAAAATAACCATATTATAATAAACCATAGAATATAGAAAAGAAAATTATAATAAATTTTTTCATTAAAAAATTTTGGTATTAAATTTGGATCATATTTTGGTATGTAAAGACAAACACCAAGTACTAAAAACAATATATCAAATATTGTTTGAGTAAATAAATATGGTTTTGATGTCATATAAACGTTTTGTATTAATGCAATTAATGTTAATAAAGAAAAAAATAATCCACTTATTATTACAATTGGATATGCATAATGAAGAAAATATTCGATCATTGATATCCATTCCGGATTAATTATTGTTGGAATTACTGCTAATGATGTTGATGGTGTTGTTGAAATAGAATTAGATGTTAATACTTGACTATGGATTTCAAATTCGTATCGATCCATAGGTTGAAATATCTGAAATTAAATATATGTTTTAGAGTGGAATAGAATTAAATGATCAACTCAACGTGTTGGGAAATCATTGAACTTTTATGTCTATTCATCTTTTGTTAATCGATTGTGCACCTTTATTCAACAAGCTTTTAGAAACGCTTCAGCCACTCGAGACATAACGGCGACGCAATCTATTCTAATGCCCTTAGGAATGTACGAACCAATGCACAATCAATTTTTTTTTCTCATTTGATAATGTGAAGCTTCTGCTTTTTCTCGTGGAATTCTCTTTCTCATCTTCGATTTAATCTATGACATACAATAGAAATTAAAAGAAAAGAAAATTTTACTTGTTTTGATGATATTTAGGATAACATTAGTATCCTTGTCCAGGTCAAGTTAGTTAGAAATAAATGTTACTCGTTTTTCTTTTAAGCAGTTATAGAAATATTCATCTATATACATAGGCGCAGCTGTCTGTCTCACATTTACATACACAATCAACACTCTTTTTTTTTTCTGCTCCTTTTACTTTTTACGTCGATAGACGCGGCACTAGCAATTTCTGTCTTTTCTTTTCTTCTTTTTCTTTCTCTTCTCTTTTTTCTTCGTCTCTTTCGACCGATGAACGCGTATGGTCATAAGTTATGTTCGGTTCAAGCAATTTTTATGCAGAAGAGAGAAAGAAAAAGAAGGACAGCGGTCATGAGGTTCAACTAAATTAACGTGTCGATGTATATTGCTAGCATGAACCAACGAGAACAAGACATTCCGACTAATGCTATATCTTTTTCTCACGCATCTGTCTTTAGACTATTTATCATTTTCTTTATGTCGTGCTTCTTCTTTTTTCTTTTCATCATTTTGTAAATGATCGATTGTTCGATAATAAACGAGCTTGAGTATAAGCAATTAAAACTAAATAGAAGGTTGCCATCACTTAACATCTTTATTTTTATTATATAAATGTGTCAATATGATAATCAAAAGAAATGATAAAATATGAATTCAATGATCCACATCCTCATATATAGGTCAATAATACATTTGTAATATTAATAAAAACAAAATATCATTTGTATAATACAGTTTTGACTTCTTTTTTTCCTGCCAGTCTCCTTTTTTTTGTTCGCTTGTATTAAATATCTTGTTCAACTTATATGTAACATGTTGATCTTTCATTAAACGATGTAGATACATATGAATATATCGTCGAATTGATCTAAAGATATACGTAGATTGATAGACATATCAACCTAGAACAAACTTTATCTATTGTTATTGCTGTTCTTTTGTTAGTTTAAGATACTTATGCTCGTATTGATACATATTTTTATAGGTTCCTTATCAATATACTTCATATGATTAGAAGATCAAGTTTTTTTGTGTCTTCTCTTACTGAAACCAAGATAATGATAATAAAGACTTACTGTTTCTTTATAATGTAGCAATTTTTAGTATTCATCTATTATTTTATGATCGACTAAACGATATTTTATTGTGTTTGTGTAATGTAAAGTACTGTTTAAATAATATATCAATCAACTGCAAGTCAAATTTCAATATAGTTAAGTGGTTTAAGGATGCCGATTAATTGTTATATAATACTTTCAAATGATTATTTACATGATGCTAAGATCACAAGTAGAGACATGAATTGTAACTATCATTACAGTTTTCATGATCATTTTAAATTAAACTTCCATTTTCTTTTTTCGTCTATTGTTAATATTGAGAAACGAGAAAAATAAAAGTTATACGTAATCGATTCTATCTAATACGAGAATAAGTATTTGAATACAATGTCAAGTGGTTGAATAGTACGTGAAGTGTACTATTTCCTCTTATGAAATAAATCTCAGTCTTTTTATTGAATCAATTAAATAGAAAGTATTAATTTCAAAGTGGATGAGTAAATGTTAAAAAAATGACAAACAAATAAATATCACATACATGTTTGATTTCACACAATAAAGCAGGAATTGAATTTCCATTTAATGATAATTTACGTTCATGCTTTATATGTATGTACAAATGTATCTTCTCAATTATATCGATGAGATTAGTTATTTGACTCAAAATAAGATCAATTTTGAAAGAATAGTAAAACTACACATCACTTATAGAATACTTTACTCTTATTTCATATCTAATTAGAACTTTTTGTTGGACATGCAATACGGAAATCAGTTTATTGTATTACTTGTTTTTTATCATTAGTATCTAATTAAACCGAATCATTGTAGGATTGAATCTGTCACTCATAATTATTTTCATTTTTTTTTCAAGGTAATTATGGTTTATATCACTCTATTATATGTTTTATTTAAATCATTCTTTCAATAAACATGAACATATCTTCAACATTTATTACTAATAACAATATTATTGACATTTTATATGTTGTACATAAAATAGATTTATTTTTTTTCTCGTAAATGGTACCACTAAAAGTACTATGATTAACTCTTTACATTCTATCCATTGAACAGAATGTATAGACTTCATTTAAACATAAACTTCTTTTGACTATAGAAAAAAAGAAAATGTTCAACTTTTTGATTATGTTGAACAACATTTTGTTACTAATTATGAATAAATTTATTGATTGAAAATTGTTGTTCAAAGTATTCCTTGCAATTAACGAGTAGCAGCAAATTATTGTCTTAAACACTGTTTTATAGTGCTTCTCGAAAATGAGAACATTTTGTTATTTTTATACTGTACAGACGATGACAATTTCATAGCTATACATATTGATTGAAATGAGATCTGCTGTTTGAATAGTCTCTGATAATATATGTGACTGTTGATCCTGATTAACGAAACTAGTTAAAATCAAAAGTTAAGGGTGCGACTTAAAAGAATACTTAATGAAACATGTATTACTAACTCGCAAATGTTTTTTTTCTCTTACAGATTTTCATAGTCAGAATGAATAAGATTCATTCTGCACGCTGTAGTTTTGCTTTTTATTTCTGAATTGATTCGATTTAATAACGAAACAAAAAGGTTTAAATTAAGAATAATATTTATACTGATTATAAATCCAAATAAAAAAAAAGATTTTTCGTAATATATTGAAAATTTACAGCATTTTGTCATGAAATGTACAACACAAAATAATTTGTGCATTTTGTAAAGTAATCTGAATAGTGTTGAAGAATTCATGTAGTACTTCTTTGACATATTCAATTTTTCTGATTAATGTTCACACGTATACATGAGAAATTATAAAATTTGTATGGAATCTAATGTAAGTTAGTTTCATGGAGATGTTATATATCGTGATAAATTTCAATTTAAACGGATATTAATATACTTTGTTCTTGACTAACAGAAAAATGCATTGTTTCAATTATAGATTCACGCAAAACAGTCCATGAGCCGTTATTAATGTTTAATTTATATCTCGAAAAAAGTAAAGGTGAAAGTTGTCATGCATTAAAAATAATTAGGAGATTGACCACTGACAACCAGTCCGCATACAATATTTTTGATATGTCATTAGAACTACAAGAATGTGTATGCTGATAATCTACACCATTCTATCTTGAAGAATTCTTTTATATTTATACATTGGACATACCAAAAGTACTGATTTTGTCAGATAAAACTTCACAGTATAGAATTAATCAATTTTCTGCTCCAGCTAATATAACAGCAAATGCCCATTTGAAAACAAAAAGCTAGTGAATATATCATAAAATAAAAATTTGCACAACAATAGGACGAAGATAACTAGATAGCAGACTATTTGATTAAAATGTGCATACCGAAACATATATTGCTATGATATTCCAATGAGCTTAAATAAAAAGTTGAACGTATTGGTAGCATTACTCTTTGGCGTTTTTATAAAGCATGATATTATACGAAAAGTTGAATAGCTGTATCTTTAGAATTTCTATAGCCTTATGGATGCTAGTCAGGAATGTGTATGTGAGCCTCAATAATATAATCCCCGAAGTTGAGACGCTTCTTCTGATATGTTCGTGAATATTCAAACTATTAAATCCAATTGCCTTTGCTGGCATATGGGTTTTCTCGAGTAACACGACTGTACAAACCGACTTCATGAACTTGTCGACGAATTGTTGATTCCAAAATATTAATTTTGAAAGAAGTTTGACCCTCAGTTCTGTGTGTGAGAGGAAATGGATGGGTCTGAATGTTGACGATTGAAGAGAAAATAGAAAGCAACGATAAAATTCACATTCACGCCCTTTGAACAAATGGGTATGCAATATTTCCAGAATATCTTAGCTATTTCTTAACGAAGTCTTGACGCTTCTATTACCAAAACGATCAGTGCAAAAGTATCTTCATAATTAGGAAGTTTGATTAATTTCAAAAGTGTCCATTATAGCGGTGGGAGAATCTAGAACGAAGTACCCATCTATAAAAATACGTCTTCAACAACTTATTATAGAACAGTGCATCAAACATGTGTTGCTAGCTCAAATCAGATCGTCTACCGTCAGCCACGCCAAATTCAATCGACCTCTTTGTGAGAAAAAACCTCTGTAGATTCATCAAAATCGGATGGAAATTATGTACTAATTTGAATCGGCTGAGTGTAGATATCAGTTAAAGAAACTTGTGACTTACTTCTAGATGCATTGGTTCCAGAGCTTGTTGTTGCGATCACAGTTGATGAAGTCGCTACTGACGTTACTTGTCCTTTAGATAAGAAAAGAAAATCACATAATTGAGCCAATGTTTATATAAAAATGGTCAAAAAACGTATCTCACTATCTGGTTATCGTTTTCTTAAATATTGTCTTGTATTTGGTAATAGCAGTTGGTTAATTTTCTGATTCTACGAAGAAGTAACCCTAGTTTTCTACTGCTATAGTTGTAAACATGAACTTCCACAGTCGTGGGTTGAATTCTCGGAAAAAAATTGAGCTTACTTAAACAAGACCCTTTTTCTTGAGGAGAGAGATTAATATAAGACTGGCTTTCACATATACTCCTAGATCGATTTCATGTTGAACTTCCTGAATTCTACACCAATTGACCGACAGGAAGCTGTTCAAACTGATAAATTGCTTTTTTAACGAAAAGTACTAGATTATCTCTTATCAACCATGTGAATTCTTCAAATGAGAATGAGAAATATCCTTAAATCTTTACAAACTTGTCTTTCTGTGAAAATTCGTTTTTCGGATTAAAAGACGTTTCTTCAGAGGTTTTTATCTACCCAAGATTCATAGAGTACCGAGTTGTCAATGAACAATCATGACTTCTGCTTTCATTCACAATTTGAAGAAAAGATTTGATTCCTATTCGGAATCGGACACCGAAATATCTGGAGAGTACGTTATGCTAGATCCCGAGATTTACAGTGATATTTGACTGTCTGACTATCTGTTAGATATTTAAAATTATCAGTGTTTGTAATTGAAGGAGATGTCCTCAAGAGGCAGAGTATTGAGCTTTGGAGTACTAACTAATATTCACAACATATTCTACGAAATTCGACAATATAATTTTTCAACTAAGAAAAAGAAAAGTTGGGCAATATGAATAGTATACACTGATATTGAGTTCTCGTCTAACCGGCTCGATAAAGTCTGTTTTAATCACCTCTGATAACGGCAAGAATGAATCTAGAATAGTGTTGATATTAATTCATTGCTATAGTTCTCAATAGCATAGTTACTCACACTGTTACTGCCACAGTATTCAGAAATGGCTGCATGGTATTGATATTATAAATGCTGCCGATGCGAAACGCTTACGGCTTTTATAGACGACATCTTTTTTGCAATTTGTTTTTTACGCTTCCTAGGACACGATAAAAAACACTTTGGTGATGTTTGGTTGCATTCAGTCGCGAAAGCAACAATAGTAAATGCATGAAAACGATGTTCCATAAGCAATAATTTTTGTTTGCTAACATTTACTTCTTTAGTCCTTGCAATGGACCAGAGGCATTAAAAACAAAATATTATGACTTTTTTAATGGCCTCTTATGATCACTTCATACAAAAAGGTACTATCAACAACAACAAAATAAAGTTTATTTTCTTTGAGGGAAGCATTTTAACAAACATCTTTAACGCTCGTAACATGAAGCAGTTTCTATAAGTGTATTTTGCTTCAGTGGCAGTATTTAATAACAGTGGGTTGTGGGTTAGACGAAAATGAAGCATGTACGATGGTGAGTCAAAAGGTCTCGCTCAGTATAAGATCGATGATCAACCATTACAGCGAAAATTTAGAGCTACAAGCAAGTTGAGAGCCCTCCCTTTTCTACCCGGTTTTATACATTTGATTTGATTATTAATACAAATTTCATTTGAAGAAAAGGAGAAGCTTTTATATCAATGAATGCCGTTTGAGAGGATGGCCATTAATCATGGTAATCACAAAGCCTTTTTTACATTGAATCCTGCAACATCGAATTGATCGATTGACACCGCAGTGGTCAGATATCGGTCAAGTTTTTCTTAAACGAATGCGTGTGGTAAAGAACTTCTGACAGATGAAGTCAGAATTCTATGATCCTTTAGAAAAATATCTATCTGATATAGAATGAAAGTTCCCATTCTTCTGTAGATTAACTTGTATTTGACTTCCCTATTGACACCAATATAGATGAGACAAATAGAATCACTTTAATATACCACTAGTAAAGTATGTCACCACTCATGTATCCTATGATTTTCACGGACACTTCAATATTTTTCATACCAAATGTTACGGTTCATTGCAGTTATGTTCGTTCTTCAAAGCACTTACAGTTGCCTGATATTTATTTCGACTTGACCAATGGATTGATTTATGAAAATGGGTCGCCGAAAAATTCCCTGAAATTCTGTTTTGTCAGATCACTTGTAATTTTTCTGCGACATGGACAGAATTTCACGAGAAACTTCGAAAACTGCTTCATAGATTGCTCTGCAGTGTACAACTATTTGAATACTTTTGAAAATTCTTGTAAAGCCGACTTTAATCATATCTTGGAAAAGTACTACATTTTCGGTCAATATAATCTTAAAGCCGTCATACTGTGTCACGAATAGTACTCAAGTGTCTATTCAAACTCAAAGTACGGCAATAGGCTCAAGCTCTGCATCAACACCTGAGTTTCTCATAATAGGAGAGATCGTTCTGATACATCCTGTCTACGATATTGTTTGGTAAATCAAGATAAGTCTTACACGAGATACTGTGCTGTACTCAAAACGGCATTTGATACTCCAAAGGGAATGGTATTTTACAAAACTGAACACATATTTGGAGAATTCTTCAAAATACACTACTTCATTTTTGGTTCACACTGGCTTTGCATAGAATAAGAGAGTACTTATCGCAACCGACCAGAAAGCCTATTTTCGTACTAAAATATGGAAAGTTAACCTTCATAATCTCCTTACCTAGTCATCCCAAAAAACCTAAAAAATTCATTCCTGGTTCAGTTTCTCCATCCTTTTCCACTAGCCGTATCAACAGACCACTGAGTAAAATTTTGCATATTCTAGTTGGCTACATGTCGTACCACAGTGACAGTAGCAGTTCTGATTTTTTGAGACCTTCTGCTGAAAGAACAAGAAAGACTGAGTCAAGGATTAAATTTTCAGATTCTTATTACGAGAGCTAACGTTTTGAAGTTTTGGACAGAAATAGGTTTTCTGATCTATCCCAATGAATATTCACTCACTATAGGCAAAGCTAGTGTGAACAAAAAATGAAGTACTGCATTGAATATTTCTTCAAATTTGCATATTCGGCTTTGTAAAATACCATTCTCTTTGGTGGATCAGATGCAGTGTCGAATATATCAGAGGATCTTTCATGCAGCCTATCTGAAGTTACGAAGCAGTATCATCCATGGAAGATGCCAGAATCAAAGTTGGCGGGAAGTTATATCAATATTTAAGTATTTTCCGGTTGAATTCGTTGAAGAACTTGGTTCAAAGCCCATACTCTCCACTCAAGTATATCTCGATCTGCTATATTGGATGGCGTTCTCCGTTTCTCAAAATCTAGGAAACTGTCCGATATAATTCCAAAAGTTTGAGCAATCAGTATACACATCTTAGTGGGCCTCTATTCGATCCGTCTGAAAACGATCTTGTGAGTGTGCATCTACGGTCATGGATGTGGGTGTGAAGCAAAGTTCAATTTACGTTTCAGGAAGAATTTTTGTAAAAGTCCGAAAAGATATTTTAACTGGACTCATTGAATAAAAAGCGATTTTAATTCTGTTTAGTGGAAGAAAATGATTGTTCGTATTGTGAGGTGCCTAAAATGCTTATGAGTTATTATGGATATTCATGAGGAGTTTTTGATTAAACTGATTCTCTTCTTTTTAGATTAGTTGTAAGTTTAAAGTTCGTATAAAAAACTCTTTTAGAGTCTATTTGTGAAAATACGTATTCTGTCGGGATAAATGGGTTCTTCATGAAGCGTAGGCAGTAGCTATGCAGTTACTGGTGATTGTATGTTTAATACTAAAATACTACAACATTATCGATTTGATTGAATGCATGCATGAATTCAAAGGATGAGCTCACTACTATAAAGAATAGTAACACTGCATAGGATGGAAGTGGGGTAGAGCTAGCTACTTTTTCCCTGGACTTGTTTATGTAAGTAATATAGTTCCTTATTGTATTTATAAAAAGAAAAGATATTTTGTATAACTTTGATAAATCTATCGAAAGAAGATTTTTTTAAAAATAAGTGCCTTGTCCAGGTAATTCTTCGTTTCAATGATTTATTAATCAAATTATATGAAACATTAATCAATATGTTTTTTATATTTTGTAAAGTCCTAATTCGTGATATAATTTAACAGTATTTTTTATATAGGGACATTAACATTCAAGTAAATCTACATCTGGACGAGTATCATTTGTGTATGTACTCTAAATAAAAATATATGAAAAAAAAATAGTGTAATAAATTTGAGAAAATGTTGAAATGACTTACAACTGGTACAATCACTTTTAGATTGAGCGATTTTTCAGTCATAAGTGGTAAGATTTCCTGAATTTGTTTTATATTTACATTATTAATATGATCGACTAATGATGATTTACTATTGTTTATTAACGTTTGATCTTCCATACATGATGTATTTCCATCAATCGAATGTTTCGATTCTTCAAGTTCGATTTGTGATACGGATTGATACTGTCGATTTCTTGGATTAGTAAATAATCTTTCTTTACAAAAAATGATTAATTATTTAAAACATACCTGTAACCAAAAAATGTCTTAATACTATTAATTGTTGACCATGTTCGATATTGATGATGATTCATATCCTTCTTCTTCTTGAGTATTCTTTCTTCTTTATAATAAGAACCAGCGTAAATAATAATTAGGTATGATATAAAAATATTACTGTTAATACATACATGATAAAACAGAATATATTTTGTTCAGAGAAAAAATTATATTGATGATAAAAGAACTGTTTCCATGGTAGGTACATGTACAAAAAAATAATGCTTTCGAATTTTCACCAGCTTATGTATTAATGCATAATATGCTCTTTGATATGAATATATGAACCTCATTTCAATAGCTACGAGTGATTGGTAAACAAAAAGAAACGCGTAGAATTTTAGATAGTACAATTTTCCAATCATCTTCGAGGGTTTTAATGCTACTTCAATATACTATTGATATTCTCAATGATTGTAAGCTACTGATATTATCTAAAAAATATGTTGTAAAGAATTAATCAATCTGTTTTTCTCTATGATATATTTAACCATACACTATGCACAAGAATTTTTCGAGCTAAATAATAATCGTCATTGATGTATGATTGTGTAATCGTATACAAAGTATTTTTTTTTTAATTTTGTCAGAAAAGCGAACAATATTTATGGTCGGGTATCAGAGAAGTAATACAAAATTTTCGATTTACATCCATCTGAAGAACATCTCGATGGGAGTCTTATTTAAGATACTTTATTTAGTTTTTACTGCAGATGTTCATAGAGAGAATAAACGACAATTATTTTTTTTTTTAATTAAATTCATAATAACTTGATAGGCTGTTCAGAATTTCTTTTAGATGAAACTTAATAATAAAATGTTTATTTGTATCATAAACAGTTATGAAAATTCGACTTCTTTTGATGCTGTTGTTTTGTTCATACTTGTTAACTGCTCATAATATATTTTTTTCTAATCTGCAGAATCTATCATTTTTATTGAATACAATCGCTAGATTTTTCTAGCAATCTATCAATGACATGAGATTCTATCGAAGAATTTGTCTGATTGTTCAAGAGTTCAATTCGGATGAGTTATGGTATTCCTTCAATGACTTGAGTTGAATTAATTTATCCAGCTCTGTTTTATATCAGTCCATTAGGTAGAGAAAATCTTGGCCTTTTTCTATACATGGAAATGAAAGAGTGTAGAAATTGCCAACCCAGGGAATTAAAAAAATGACAAAAAATTTTTATTAAAATGATGAAACGGACAAAAACATACATGTATTTCAAATTCATTGATTAATATGAATCTTTTCATCAATTTAATGCCGTGATTTTAATTACAAATCAAAGTTATGAAATTAAATTGATGAAAATATTCATTTTAAGCAATGACTTTGAAATACATGCATGTTTTTGTCTATTTCATGATCCAAAATGCCATTTTTTTCATGCTTTTGATATAAAATTCATGAAAGTCATGAAATTTTTTTCATTTTTTTAAGTCGCTGGGAAATATTCTAAAGGTACAATCTCTATATGTTAACTTAATATTTGTAATGAAAAGCTATTCACATGATAATGTATAGATTGCTCGTTTCTGTTGAAAAAATAGTCAAAGGTGCATACAAATTTCGAATATAAAATTATAATCGAATGATTCATTCAACTGTTTCAAACGAATTTAGATCAAAAGCATAAATATGGAAATGCCATTTTCTAAATGGCACACCTCAGAGTTGGAATCGGACGGATTTTTCCCATCCGGTCCGGTCCGGCCAGCTTCAAAATTTGTCCGGTCCGGTCCGGCCGGATCATTTTTGACGTCAAACTGGCAAAAATCCGGCAAAATCATAAATTCACGCAATAGCTTGTTCGTTAAGGTAATAACGAGAAACGATTCTGTGAATAGTATATAAGCGTTCAAACTAATAAGAAGTACAACGTAAGAAAAGTCTTCTCCACATCGTGCAGAAATGCATTTTAAGTTTTAACTTTCAAGATGATTTGAAAAGGTTAGATCGTTTAAACTAGTTTTTCATTTTTATTTATAAGAGTAAAAAATAGCAAATACAATAACCATCATAAAAAAAAATATGTCCTTTTTTCGCAAATTTACTACTTAAATAGAAAAATATACATTTGTACACGTAAATCTGAATTATAGACAAACAAAAAGAAAAGATAAGTATATGGATTGATTTTTAATCCAAAGTAACTATTTTTTTCGAACCAGTAACAGACGCAGGCCACATGTTGTTGATATATGCTTCTTTGAGAACGACCAGAGCTTCAATTGTATCAGGATCAAGTAAACTACGTTGTTCTGTTACTATCTGTCCTGCGATGGAGAAGTGACGTTCACTTTCAGCCGATGATGCAGGAATAACAAAAAGTGAATTGGCAATATTGGAAAGCAT